CCCGCCGCTTCCCCTTCCCGCCGGCGCCCGCTCAGGCTGTGCGCGCGCAGTCGCGACCAGCAGCGCATGGAGGGGGCGGGGGAAACCCTGCGCCCGTGACGAGGCCGGGGGTGGTGCCTGGGCCCGGCGGCCTGCGGAGGGCAGGAGGCGAGGCCTGACCGGGTGAAGCGGCCCTCTCGCTCTGGGCCTGCCCCGGCCGGGTCCGCGCGTGCGCTGTGCTCGTCTGCTCGCGGGTAGCGACCCCTGCTGGTGTAGCGCTGCTGCGGTCCCAGGGCTAGTGCCTGGTTCCTCGCGTCGCGAGCCCTCCAGCGGCAAGCCTGTGGGGCTTGGCCGGCTCTCCCTTTGCGCTCCACGGACGCTCTCTCCATTCTTGTGGCATCCAAGGCAGCCAGCGAAGCCCAGTGCCAAGGAAAGACAGACGAACATCCAGCAAGTCGCTTCTAATCTTTTTTTTTTTTACTTTATTTTATTATTATTTTTTTAAATATATCTTTGTTGATTTCAGAGAGAGGAAAGGAGAGGGAGGGAGAGAGAGAGAAACATCGATGATGAGAGAGTCATTGATCGGCTGCCCAGCCCGCAACCCGGGGCATGTGCCCTGACTGGGAATCAAACCCTGATCGCCTGGATCCTAGGTCAGTGCTTAACTGCTGAGCCACGCCCAGCCGGGCTACTTTATTTTTTATTGAAATGTAATGGACACATAACAGACTCGTTTCAGGTGCACAACGTAATGATGTGATATTTGTAGCGTCTCTGTTATTAACCATTCACTATGACCATTTTCTGTGTCTGCCTGATTGACCCCGGCACTGCGAATGGATGTCTCCTTGGAGGAAAGGGAGAACTCAAAATGCCTGGTTCTTGTCACTGTAGAGCCTCCTATGTCACATTAGTGGCTTTCAAACTTTTTGATCCCCAGCCCACAGTGAACAAAAACATTCTACATCAAACCCAATACCACACATGCATGTATATAAATGAATATGCCTGAAACAAAAACTTCACAAAAAAAATTTTTTTTCAATTACAGTTTACATTCAATATTATTTTGTAATACCAGGTGTACAGCATACTGGTTAGACAATCATGCACTTTAAACACAGTGGTCCCTGGGCAATATTTCAAGTACCCCCCTGTCATTATACATAGTTACTAACAATATTATTGACTATATTCACAAAACTTTATACTTACTACCAGCAATACACTAAATTTCTACTTCTTCATTTTGGTTGCATTATGAAAAAAATGCTAAAAAGGGACCCATTGTCAGGAAAAAATGTCAAAGACTTGGAAATGAGTGAAAGAGATTGCTGGGTTGGCGTTAAGGTTAGGGTTAGCCCTTTCAGTGTAAGGCCAGGCATTGTCTAGCAGAAGCTGGTCCCTATCCATAGGGACCTCTGACTTCCTATTGACTAAGCTATTTTACAAGCAAATTGATAGTTAAAATAATTCTTGTCCAATCTGTAGAAAAGATACCCCAAAACATTACATTATATTGACCTATAGGATATTAAACCACTTTCACCTCTCTTAGCAAATTCATACAACATTCCTGTAATATTTTCTGGCTCCCTCATTAATTAATAAGATAAACAATGTTTTGACATGTGTCTATTTTATATTTCTATGGGAGTCATGCTTTTACCTTTCAGAAAATTATACTTTAGCACCACTAAAATTAATTTCACAATCTACTATTGGATTGCATTCAGCATGTTGAAAACCTGTGCTTTAGAGTATATACCTAAATTACTGAAATATACTGTATGTGCATCTTCAATTTCACCAGAAAATACGTCTTTTCCAAACTCTTTGTTCCAATTTACATTCCTGCATTGAATAAGAGTTCTCTTATTCCACATCCTTGCCAACACTTAATATTGTTACTGAAAAGGGAACCTGGTCCTGAGCAGATCTGCCTAAGGCCTGGCCAGTAGTGTGTGGGTTTTTGACTTCGTGCAAGAGAGATTTCACAGTACGAGTCCTGGTGAATTTTAGAGGTTGTTTATTAAAGCTGGGACAGTGAAACAAGAAAGGGCTGGGAAATGAGCCTAGGCTGGTCTACTTTGGCTCACTAAGAAGTCAGAGAAAAGGGGCCTTGGGGACAGGTTCAGGGGGGTTGTCAGGGATAAACCATCACTGCCCATTGCTGCCCTGGTTGCAAGTCTCGTGGGGTTCCTTAGAGTTTAGGAGATGCATGCCTATCGGGTAAGAAGGGGTAGGGGGAGGTGTGGGTGTGCTCTTGGGAGAGAGAGCTCAAGCTGAGCCTTCATTTTGGGTTTTATTTTATTTTTTAATTTTTATTTATTTATTTTTAAATATCTATTGATTTCAGAGAGAGGAAAGGAGAGGGAGCCAGAGAGATAGAAACATCAATGATGAGAGTCACTGATCGAGCCTGCAACCCGGGCATGTGCCCTGACCGGGAATCAAACCTCGATCGCCTGGATCCTAGGCTGACGCTCAGCCGCTGAGCCACACCCGGCCGG